TTGTTTCCTGCCTGAATGCAAATTGCGCAGAGAAGACATTCCTTTGTTTGAGGCTGATCTGTTTGCCAACCTCAGTTTGGAATATGTGTTAGTAACACCATACAGTGGAATCTTATAACTTCACACACAATGTTGCCACACACATTTTACCAGAACAATAATGACCAGCAAATCATGAGTTCTCAAATGATACCTCACAAAACATACTTTGGACAAAGATTATTACAATAGAGTGCAAGATGTGGACAAAGGTAATCTTGGCACAGTTTTGGGTGGTGAGCAGTTGTTTTTGTTTAGTTTTTTCCCTTTCTTTTCACTAAAGATTGCAATCCAGCTAGTCTTTTCCTCTAATTTATAATTAAGAATTGTCTGCAGAGAGGCTGTCTGATGCGTTGAATTCTATTGTGGCAAATATCTCTCCCATTTCTTATTAAATTGTATTAAAACGGTGTGCCTTGATATGGCATGATTTCAGTTTGTAGACTTCCACACCTATCCCATATTATTTTTCCTCCCTGATCCTGCATTCCCCTTCATTTAAATCCAAAAATAAAATACCAAAATGTCATATAAATCTGTCCCCAAATGACTGTGTTTTCCCAAGGCCCTGTACTCTCCCAATAACATTTGGACTGAAAGGGAAACAATCCAAGTGAAGTAAATTCTCCATATATGGGACCTCAGCTCTCACCCCCAGGGATAAATTACCATTTTATCATTTGAGTTACAGGGGGAGGATTTACACAGAACCCCAGAGGGCCCCTCTGATTCCCTCTCTATTTTCTCCAGTCTCCTCCATCTCTGAGACCCTCTTATATGCTCCCCCTTCATAACCTTTATTTTCTCTATTTTTTAATACAGAACACAGCTACCACAGTTTTGCCCACTCCAATTAAACCATCTCCAGACTATTTGCTTTACAGTGTTGAGATAGTTACTGCTCATCTGCTTGTTCTAGATGACTTCCAGTGATTCCCTTCTGGTTAATCTATAGATTATTCTTCGGGTGTCTGGGTTCTCATGTTCTGTTTCACTTCTGCCATTGCCGGTACATTCCCTGTGCCTTTCATCTCTAGTGTCTTTAATCTCTTCTTGTCTTATTCTCCTTTTCATGGTTTCACCATTTGTTAGGATTTCTTTCAGCAATTTATTATTAGTTTCTACCTCTGTAGTGTCTTTTTTGTGTCTGAGATTAGAATCATACTATCCCAAGCTATTGGAGTGTCATTTTTCCTTGTTTAAAGTCTCTTTGTCACACTTTCCATGAAGCTAATCCCCACCTAACAAACCTCACCCAAAGAATTAAAAAAAAAAGAAAAAAGAAATGCCCGCAACAAAATAATAAACAAAGTGAGACTTACAAACAATTGTGCCATTCATTCTGCTTGTGTCTTCTGTCTCTGTCCCCTCTATTTGTCTGTCTTAATTACATTTTAAACTCCTCGGGGGAGGGACTTTATAGCAAAACTCTGTACAGTGCCTACCGCAATGTGGCCCTGTTCCTGGTTGCTCCACAGGCACTACTGTAACCCAAGCAATAAAAACCTAGTGGCTCTAGCCCCAGCGACATGAGAGATCAAATTTCAATCACTGAACTGCTGAAATTTTTGTGCTGTTCTGCGACAAAGCCGATCGCAAAACCTAGGATGAAACATGTGAGAGCTGGAAGCGAAGCACTCTCAGCCTCAGCAGTGCTATTTCTATTCTGTGTCCAGCCCTAAAACCCAGCTGGGTATTGCCAAAGGACGGATGACATTGGACGCAGTTATTCAGCAGCTTCTTGAATAAGTTGCTCAGAACTGGGAGACCAGATGATACCCAGTGATGAGCCAGCTGGAACAGGTGGTTATGTTGGGCAGAGGCTCCTGTTAAGCAATGCTGACCAGTAATAATTAAGACACTGAATGTAGCAGAGCTCTGTCAGACTCCCTGGCTCTGCATGATCACTGAACAGCACAGGAGGTAGCTTGTAAGTCTGGCTGCATCAAGCAACGGATTTGTAAGTGCTGGCCAGAGTGCTGCATGCTAAAGAGTTCGGCGGGTTAGATTTCCCTCCTCAGTGGCAGTTGGTGAGAATAGTTGTGAATACATGTTCTACGTGCTCTAACTGTCCTTCATCAGCCAACAAGATGAAGGATCCGAGTCATAAGTGGAGGCTTAGATTTTCTCTAGAGTTTCTAGGATTCCTCTTTTGCGAAGGGGGAAAATTCTGAGAAGGAGGGTGTCATGTTAGCCCTGATAGCCACAGAGCTGAAGAAGTAATATCAAAAACATTTTATAAATAGGGGGTAGGAGTCTTCTTGTCCGCATGTCTTCATAAAAATTGCAGGCGGAAAAACCGTTCTGAAATCAGTCCAGTCTACAAATGATGACCTTTTTTTTTTTTGCATTTCATGGTACAAGCTCACATTGTTCTATGATTTCAGACTTTTGCTGTATCCAAAAGGAAAAAAGTATGGGAAAATGCATACAATCTATCACCTGGGTCTAAGTATTTCCCACATTTTCAAAAACAGTGCTATTTTGAGTACATAGTTGCATTATAAATCATATTTAGAAGATTTCTGCAACTTTTGGTGACAATTAAACACTTTTTATGAGTTGTGGCCATTTTTGTGATTTTCTAATTTTTTTTTCCGATGGGATAACCAATAACGTTTAATCATGAGAGAAAAAACACACCACTTTCCACATCTATGTCCCCCCTGGTGATGACCACCAGATATGTGCCTAACATGGTAGCAATGAAAATTTTCTAGCTGATGGCTTACCCCTTAGTGCCCAAAATGCGTCTGGACTGGTAATCTAGTGAAAATAAACGGTTTTCACTTCAATCCTGCTTCAAGTGTAAATCCGCATGGAAACTTAATCATGGAGCTGCTAATGTCCCTGCATACATTCCTGTCTCCCACTGAGTTGATGTTGCTTTTGGACTGTGTATGCATCTGCTGGGAAATAATCAAATCTATTTTGGGGTCACATGGTTTTGATGCACCCACATCTCTTAACAGTACATCATAATATGACACGCTAGCAAGCCATCCTAGTACAGAATTCCAGATGAAAACAAAGAATGCACTTGTAATTTTGATAGAACACAATTTTGCCCTTGAAATGTATGACACATTTCTAAAATGCTGGAAATGGCACCTGACATTTCAAAAACATCTGAGTCAGTCCAACCTTCCCCCCGTCCCTGCCCCCACACTCACACACACTGGAGTTCCTCACTTCATTTTGAATTTTTGTTTTCCCTCCCAACAGCTCTTCAAATGTTTGCTTGGGTCAGGTCTGGTCAGTAGTTAGATCTATCTGAATTCTTCCAACACACTTTAGCAAATCACAATGGGTATCACGGTGAGAAGCCTCACCATTTGCTCAGGCCCTAATGCTCAACACCTGATTGGTAGGTAGCTCTTGCTTAAGAGCCTCAAGTATGGGGGGGGGAGAAAAAAAGAGGTCATGTTGGTTAAAAAATATGGGGGCACTTCTGAAACTGAGAAACACGAGGGACTAAGCACAGCTCTATGCAAGAGAAAGGATGGTCGTATCGTTAAATCACTAGATCAAAACTCAGACTCTCTGTGTGACCTTGGGCAAGTCATTCAATCTCTTATGGGTCTCAATCCTCCATTTGAAAAATGACAATAATAATATTTCCTTTCCCTACCTTTTGCCTGTCTGGTCTGTTTAGATTGTAGGATCCTCAAGGCAGGGACTGTCTGTGTGTAGTGTTGCTCCTTCTTCTAGCACCAGTGTCCTGCTCTGACACCAGCATTACCCTCAGCCAAGTAATGGCAGGTGTCCTGCACCTTCCAGATCGGAGGAGAAACCAGTGACAGGGAGTCTGAGTAAACTCTAAGTGAAACCTGTCATATCTAATACTGATATTTAATATTTAAATTACATATGTATATTTATTCACCTGTTCTGAAATGAGATAGTGACACAGCAAACAGGCTTGGCTCTTCTTCCAGAGATCTCAGCCCAGCACCAAATTCCCAAGGAGAAACTCTGCCTGAAGAATGGACTCTACTCAGAGGCCAAGGCAGAGAACAAACTCTCTACTGTTGGCACAGCTAACTCCTTCCCAAAACTTATTACCAACCTTTCTCCTTGTTTGTGGGAGTCTGTCCTTTATTATCCTTGTTGTTGTCCTTCTTTCCCTTTACGTGTCATCTCCTCAATTTGGGGAGTCTTCCTTGTCAACTTATCACTTGTCTTCTCTCCTTTCTTACCTTTAAATCTTGTGGAGCATTTGTTGCTTCAAGAACACCCTCTCCCCACCTCCCCCGACTAGGGCTTATCTCCATAGTTTCCCACATACACCCATGAAATTTTTTCTTCCCCTGTTCAACACAAACTTAGAGTCTCTCATCCCACTGGGGGCATCTCTCTTCCTGACTCCAAAATATCTCAGGGGCTCTACCAACCCTGGCTGAACCTGGGGGGGCCCCCAGGGAGTGGGAGCTTCTGTCCCTCATATAAATACAGGGCTCTTTTTCTTTGTCAAACATTGGGACTCCCCTCCCCATTTGGCAGAGTGACCATATTTTCAAGGCAACTGTAGTGATGGAGGAGGCCGTGCAGGTGACCGTTCTGGTGGGAGGGGTGTTTCAACATATAGGCAATATTTGGAAGCTGTTGGGGGTGCAGAGGGTTCCCTGTGAGCCCTGGAGGGAGTGGGGGGAGTAGCAGTATGTGACAGCCCTGCTGGGGGCTAGTTATTGAGATGCATTGGGGTGTCTGGGCCACTCACAGTGCTGACTAGTCAAGAGTCAAGTGCAAAGGGTGGGGCTTAGACAGGAAGTTCCACCCCACACTGGTTCCGCACTGGAATAGAGTGGGGGTTGGGACAGGCAGTGGAGCAGGGCTTCTACTTCATTCGTCATGTGGATTGGTCAGGGACGGGGGCGGTGGGCAGAGCCGCCTGTCAGAACAGCTGTGACGAGCCCCCTTCACACTGTGATCCCCCTTCTCTGTGTTTCTCTCTCCTGCAGCTTGTGGATGTGTGATCTCCCAAGTGCTTCCTGCATGGATCTCGCCTCTGTCCTCAGCACCAGCCAGAGCCTGACAGAGTTGGATCTGGGTGCTAATAACCTGGGAGATGCCGGAGTGAAGCTGCTGTGTGCGGGACTGACATACACAAACTGCAAACTGCAGAAACTGGGGTACGTCGCATTTGGCCTCCTCTATGTATTTAAAGGTGTCCTGTATGTAAAGTGCTCAACACAGTGAGGCACGGTGGGGAGGAGAGGATATTTTCTCTGTCTGTCTGCCCCACTCTGGTGGCTCTCAGGGACTGAGAGTCACCTCTTTGTCCCCCACCTACAGCAAGAGGGTAGGTCTTACTTGTAGTACCTGGGCAGCAGCTGCCTACCACCACCAGCCCTTCACTCACTCAAGCACTCTCCTCTCAGCTTATGCCAGCCCTGACTTTGCCTTGTAGACTGACAAGAGGGGAACCCAGTCACTGAATCCCTTTGAATCATTCCCGTTATACCCAGCCCCTGACTCTGGCTAGTCACAGAAGTACCAGATCCTCTGCACCCAAAGATGCCATGTAATTACTGCTCCGGTACAGCACGCAGCACTTTTGAACACTTATAATAAAACAAAAGTAGGTTTATTTAAGAAAGAATAAAGATTTATCCAGGAAAGAGAGAAGGTGATGGAAACAACTGGTTGTAATGCAAAACAAAGTCCTAAAGCATCAACCCTGATCTAATGAACTAGGTTTTCCCCACAAAGTTCAGTCAGTTGCAGACTAGCTGGTTTCATAAGAACCAGGATCCAAATATTCAGGACAGCTCCTCAAAGGCTTTCCTCAGTAAATACAGAGTGCCTTTGCCTACACTCTGTTATACTGAAAACTGACATTTGCTCTATTCATAGCCAAGGCAACCTCCTGCCTGCTGTGATGTTCCTTTTCACCTCCAAGTGGTTTTGCTAGTTTACCACGGTCTTTAATAGTTTTCCATTGACTGTTCTGGGATGTGGCAAGGGTAGACAACACAGCTTTCTGTAGGTACATTACATGTTATACTTGATGAATAAATAGCCTATAAGACGTGTTTGGTGTATTGAGTTTGTCAGGTATGAGGTGAGAGCTGTTTGCCAAGGGTGCTCTGTGTCACACCCACTGCATTTTAGTTTCTCTTATTCTTTATCTTTCCTCTTATTAGACAAACTCCATCTCATGCTGACCCTGGTGTCATTGCTGGCAAAGGCTTTAGCAAAGAGGTGATCTTGCATTTTGCTCAGACCATGGCCAGGCCAGGGCTCAGTCTGATCCCCTCTCAGAAGGCCTTCTACAGCCGAGTTCTAGCTGTTGAGAACACTCTGCTCCAATGCCCTGGAGTCTGAACCTGGGCATCTTCCAGTGGGATTGTCCCTGTGGAGCACAGTTGAGACTATGTCTGCTACAGGCCGTTGGCCATGGCAGCAACAGCACAACTCCGCACCATACCTCTAACGCTGCCCAGCCACACACAAACGTGCGCACAGCCGTGCACAGGGATCCCATCACCTCTGGTGTTTAACCCACTCAGAGGAAATACAATCACATATTTTCCACCACCACGTCCCTCTGCTCTGTTCTAGCACAAGCACTGGCAAAGCAGCTGCAGTCGTGCAATGAGTCTTCTCCCAGTGCAATTCCACATTGCCCCTGCCCATCCTTCCACGAGCCCTTTGATAACTCAGAATCTCTGGGCTCAACACAGGGGACTTTAGGGGAAATGTAATGGCCTGTGATGTGCAGGAGGCCAGACTAGATGAGCTAATGGTCTCTTCTGGCCTTAAACTCCGTGAAGCTGATTCTGTCACCTGCCAAGCCGCTCACTGGACTTAGTTGCAAAAATTCATAATTTTGGTTCAAAAATGGATGAAGCATTAAGCAAAATATTCCAAAGAGAATTGTTTCCATTTTTCTGTGAGCTCTGCCACTCTTATCCCTGCTGCATGCCAGCCCCAGAGCAGCTGAGGGGAGACTTGTTGGTCTCTGATGGGCCTGGCCCCAAACACCCACCTCCCAGATTAACAAAGACACAATGAATGAAAAATACAATGTTATAGCATTAGAACTTCGAACACATGTCAATTTAAAAACATTGTTTGGTGCATTGGGAATTCTTGTGCAAAAACACAAAATGCTACACCATGGCAGTGCTGTCTAGCCCCTGATTTATGTGCATGAACACAGACACCCCACAATGCACAACAGCTGCATATTGACAGCATCCACAGCAATTTCCACACTCCTGAGATGTGCTAAACAGAACACAGAGCAGGGTAATTAGTTAACAAATCAACATCCGGATGAACCCTACCCTCTGCACTCCCCCACCCCAACTAAATCCTCTTTTCCATGGTTCTCCATCACCCACTTATTGTTCCCATCCTTCCAGCCCCAAGGGACTCCACTATAGCAGCTGAGGAAGAACTTCGGGGAGGATTCGCTGGGCTGCGTGGAGGACCCCCAAGGATATTCTTCCTTTGGGTCCAGAGCACTCTCCTCTCTAGCTCCTAAAGGGAAACACAGGGTAGAGGGGAACTGAATTCAGCTACTACACACACAAAAAAACGGAAAAATTAACAAATTTAAACAAACAAGCAAACTCTGTCTAAAAAACTAACAAACATGATTGAAGACATGAATTAAAAGAAAAATAATCCAGCTCCTCACTGCCATGAGCATCAACATCCAAAGCTGCTGGTGTTCTTCATGATCCACTCTGGGCCTCCAGGCCCAGAAACTGAATGGCGGAGTGACAGTAGGAGCTGGTGACTCTCTGTCATGGCGTCTACAAGTGCAGGGTGTTCCTGCTCACAACACATACGCAGATCCTTGTGCAGGACACAACCATTTAAAGCAGGCAATGCAGCAAACCAAAAAGAGTGACTACGTGCACACAAACACTATAAGCCGTAGACATTATGCACCTGCTCCAGAAAGCAGCACGAGGAAATGCAGGGTAGATGCAACAATCCACAGGCCCTGCAACATTTACAGAGTGCACTCTTAGGGAATAGTGCATTGTGTGCCCCAAAGATAGAATGGCTAGTGTGGATGCACTGCATCATTGCAGCTTCCAGTTCAGTCACATTGATGCAAGTTGCAATGTGCAGTTCTCTAGTGTACACGTTAGATCATACCCTATTTAGGGCCTTGCCAATTAGTACGAGGACTTTGAATTCAGTCTGGAAGGGAATGGGAAACCAACTGAGTTTGTGGCGCATCAGAGAGGGGCTCACATCAGCCATTGTTTCTTAAAAAAGGAGCAGCTGCCATCTGAACGTGCTATTTATTTCCCTTACAGGGAGAGTGACTTGTATCAGTCTAACAATATTCCCAGAGGTCTAGGCAACACTTGTGGTTCAATATTACAAGTATTTAAGAGACCAAATAACCCAGCTTAGCTTAGTTTATTAATAAGGGACAAAGCAGTACAAATATGAAAAGGAGGCATACATACACTCCTTCTGGGAAACAATTAATGTCACAGCACATTCACCTCACACAGAAGTTGTGCTTCAAAAATATGCACCCAAGATCGCACAGCATGGTTATTTAAATATGTCACCCAGGACTAGAATTTAGCAGTCAGCTTTTTTTCTTTTCATCTTGTATCATGGTGTAACTTTCTCTTTCTTTGTAATATTACATTACAAGAGCTACAAAGGCACTACCTAACCTGTACTAGGAAGTAAAAAGGATGTATCGTGCCTTTGATAGGTTTTATATTTGCTAATGACAAAAGCTATGTTTTGCTTTGTGCAGTACATATAAGTGAAGCTGGAAGTGCTACCTTCAGTTACTATAGCCTGAAACTTCCATTGGTAGACCCTGTCTTCTGTTGCCTATAACTTTGCTAACCTTAACCATTTTGACTTACATTTTCCATGCTGGGTGTCTGCTTCAAGCTGGATATTTTTGTGAAATTTCAGCCTAAATGGTTCATCCATTTTCATCCATAGGCTAGGGAAACACACTGTTTCCCCTAAGTAATTCTGGTGAACTTTTCAGTGAGAAGTTCCATCCCCCCATGCTTTGGAGCAGGAACTTGAAATTTGGCAGTGGGGAGCATTTGTGCCAGGGATGTGCCTATTTCTGTTCCTGTGAACATCTGCCCCAATTTTCAAAGTTGTAAGTTTTTGAAAAATGTCAGTGTCGATGCTCAGTGAAGACTTATTTCAACTTTGCAGCTACAATCTCCAAATGTCCCTTCTTCACCAAGCATGCTCCACCCTGTGGCTCCAGAGGGTTGAGCCGACCCTGATTGGGACTAGTGGGGAAATCAGGAATGGATTGGGGGATCCCGACTTCCGTCTTGAGGTGGGGTATGTGGTGGGACAGATTTCCACCCCAGTCAGGAAGGGGTTAAATAACTCCTCCAGGCACAGTCAGCCCCAACATGGCAGACCTCTGAGACCTGTTGCACCTGGAGAGGGGTGGCTGCTTAAACGGGAGGATCCAAGCCCAGTCAGTGCAGGGTGGCATTCAGAGGAAAGCAGAACTAGTGCTCCCTAGCCCCACAGAGCAGGGGCTGCTATCCAGGGAAGCTGCAGAAGAGACTGTGCTGCCTGAACCCTCTGGAGAAGCAGAGGAACCATCTTTACTCTGCTTTGCTTTTCATTAGCACCCAGGGCGCTCAGCCTGGATCTCTCAGACACTCAGGGTGTTAGAAACCCAGCCCCCTTCTCAGCGACTATTTAGCTGTTAGCTTGCGAGGAACAGCGGGGTGAGCCCAGGCTGTTTTGTGGGTTGCAGGATTATTTTCTTTGCTTTTTTCTGTCTTTGACTGCGGCCGTGCCTTAAAGGAGGAGGAGACACGCCCCAAAGACCAACAGCTAGGAGACAGCACCCTGTAGTCCAAACCAGCGCTATAGCGACACCTCCAGCCAGAAAGGGACCTTAGGGATGAGAAAGGCGCCCACCGTCACCCCACAGGCGTGCTCTAGAGAAACGACCTATGACAGAGTTTGAATAGGAATCAGCAGTTTGCTCAGAAACTTCACACATTCTGCCCAGACAAGGACTTAGCCAAATAGTTCAATCTACTCATCGCCGGACCAGATCACTGTAATTCATTGTGCTGAATCTAACAATCCATATGTTGCAGCTGATAGAAAAGGACTGTCCACCTCTTCTGTGGTTTATGCCACTCCA